ATCTGCAGTTTTAACATCATCGCACATCTGACCACGTTGCGAGGAAATTATAGACCCGTTCCCTCTTTTCTATCACGATCCTCCGATATTCTGATGGAAATCCATCTTGCTGACTAGTGATATAGAACATACATTAAAATAGTTCATGTTGTACCCAGCATTGAAGCTTTATACTTTATAACAACATACACTCAGGGTGGTAAGAATGTGACCGAAAAATTTGGAAGAAATATTTTGCTTTAATATTGTGTAGAAATGAAGATAATTAAGACTTACGACCGCTATCCTCTAATGAATATTAAGCAATAAGTCACTATGCACATTTTAGTTCCTCCTGAACTACAAAATGTTGGTCTAGATATCCTTATCTGAACTCATGTGTGTATTTATGTTGCTGAGTGAGATGAAGAGTGTTGAATTTATATCGGGGATTAACATACATATGTATTTTTAGTATATTTGGACAAAATTGATCAATTTACCTATACAAACTGCACACTGATATAGGCCTTCCAGTTGAAATGGTAATGGATACCAGTATTAGGAAAATATAAAAGATCCTGTAAGACTAACTGAAATTTAATTTGTTTACAACCTCTCTAACATTGATTCTGACAGTGGGGGCAAGTTGTCTGATATTCTGTGTTTGATACGCAATACTCTTTCTGTCATCATATTATCAAATTGCTATCCAAAGCTAATATTACAGAATACGTCTCCTGAGCCTTTATTATTTTTAATAAGTTTTGGATAGTCATAGATCAAATGTGTATTGCTAAAGCCCTACCAATTGAAATGGCAATTGATACCAGTATAATAGTTAGGAAAATATGAAACTACCAGTAAGACTAATGGAAATGTGTTTGTTTACCACCTCTCTAACTCTGACCCAGGCAGTGAAGGCAAGCTGTCTGTTATTTTGTAATATATACACAGTACCTTTAAAATTAGGTTGTCATTTTATCAAACCATGAAGCATTAATAAAAAACAGTGTGTCAAAATGATGATGGGAATGAAAGGATAAGGCGTTTGTTATATTGATTAGTTTGATTCTTTGAAAAACCAGTAGCATCGATTGTTTAAAAAGGCCGTTCAAACAGTCCGTCACTGGCAAGCTTTTTGCAAATTGTAGGCTTTCTTTTTCTTCATATTTTTTCAAATATGCTGCAAATTCGACAGAAAACTTCATCTTTCTTGCAAACTTCCCTTTATCTTATATATAAATGAGGTGTGTTTTTTCAAACTTCCTTCAAACATCTATGTATTGATAGAGACTTAATTATCGCTAGAAACGATAGTGGACACCAGTATAACGCATTCGGAAAATATGAAATTACCAGTCAGCCTAATGGAAAATGTGTTTGTTTACGACCTCTCTAACTCTGACCCAGATAGTGAAGGCAAGCTGTCTGTTATTATGTATTAAATGCAAAGTACTTTTTAAAATTAGATCAGTATATTTTCAAAACTGTAATGCATGTGTTTATTAAACTGACAAAATGATAAAGGAAAAAATGGACAGATGTTAGTAATCATAGTAGTTCGACATGTAGAAATAGCATCAATTGTTCAAAGAACCTCGTTCAGGTTTCTTTTATGTAAAATCTTCATCTAGCGAACGGTGCTCCATCCTGAATTTACATTGCCATATGTACTGCATGTACCCTGCCAAGACGCGTGTTACTCCATTACTGTACATTGCTACAACGAGTAGACAACTGATCACCGTGAAAATGAGCGTGATGATTGAAATATCCCAACGCCATCTATATTTTAATTATGTTGCTCATAAGTGAGAAGGTTATAATTTTGACAATACAGCTGATAAAGGGGGTATTTTTAAGGACAGCAGAATTACCAACATACTGGACATTTCCATAAAAATCAACGTCATTACCAAACAGGGATATTGGCAAGATTGCTTGGGTCAGGCAAACTTATGGGGCCACACCCAGAGATAATGATCATACCCACTACTCGTAGAGAACGTTTCATGACATTATGCAACTTGACAGCAAAAAGTAAAAAATGGGCAAACCATGTTTCTATGTTTTCTGGTCGTTGACACCTGAACAACCACAGTTATTTTGGCAGGAGTGACGTTAGAAGAACAATGATGACCGCATGTAGTGTGCAAGGAGAGGGCTGATTTCACTGTAGCGGTACATAATCAAGGACATTCTGTTTGACTCTATATCCTTGTTAGAAGTACATGTGTTTCGTAAATAGTATTATGAACCGATGTTTCATATCTTGATAAAATCTTTTGGCGAGCATTTGCAAATAGTAGTACTTTGAAATCTTCAAGTCATCTGCAAGAGCAAAAACATAATGTTGTTATTTTTGTCCAGGTGGACCCTTACTATGCTTTGGGGATATGTTCTTATGGCAAACACCTGACACCAGCATCTTCCGAGTGTGCACAGTCGTGCAATCCCCATCCTTTATGGGGACAGTCTTTCAGGGATCCTTCACTGCCAGTACAAGCCACTTCGTCCATTAGAATGGATCCAGAACCTTGGCCAAACTTAGCTCTACTGACTGCAGTTGCAACACTGTCGCTACAAAAGCAATTATATTGCATTTAAGCTATAGATGTAGCAGAAGGTTTCAGGTAATTAAGTTGTCTTAATTGGCAGTTGAATTCCTATGGGTTTAATTAAATAAATAGAAATCCTTTGATAAAAGACAGTTCTAGAAATACCAGGTTTACTGATTACAGAGCTTTATTATATAATCAAATAATTAACAGGTTTCATAATCTGGATGAGAAGTCACAAGATACCAACAACATATAAGACCCCATTCTCAGAGATCAGATCGATCCAACTAAATCGACCAAACTCCCTGGGGGTTCACGCTAAATAGCTGTCAGCAAAGCGGACACAAAAGGTAATTACTCCCTTAGAGCTTGTAGTAGGCGGGACGGACAGTTAAGCCGGATTATCTGACAGTAATCTAGTGAGACTCCCTACGGGAATAGATCGATCTAAAATCTATGGGAATGCACCCTAAGAGTTCATGAGAAATAGACAGCTTTTTCATAGTGAAGTCACATGGTGGTAAAAATACATTTTTATTTTCTTATTTTCTCATGAAAAATTTCACCTGCAAACTAATAAAAAGTGGCAATGTATCCTCCATCATGCATACTACAAGATAAAATTCATATACTAAAATAAAATAAGATTTATTAAGTTTTGTGGGAGGGAGTCAAATTTCATAGGGGGAAGTCAGATTTTCACTATGAAATAATTCCGGAAGTCAGATTTTTATGCTACACCGTCCCCTTTAACCTTTTACCACCCAAAATAACTTGTAATAGGTCATTTGCCACTTGACAAAAATGGTACATCATTCACCATCGGACATAAACGGTAAAACTTCTAAAACATCAATTAAAACGTGGTCGATCATCATACATCTGCTTTCTGGTCGATTTTTTCTACTTTTATAATATCTGAAGACCGGGTGAGACGGTTGTTTTGAATAACTGTGACTTTACACTTAAGTTACACTACTGTTGTTAAGACCTGACTCCTGTCAATTTTACATAACCAAACTCTACCATAACGCTTTGCCCTTGAACGAAACTTAATTATCTTGTTATTCTCATTTAAGTAAGAAAAAAATAATTGTATTAAAAGTATATATCTTAAAGTTGTACTGCTACATGAATAAGATTATATACGAAGATGGCCAAATATTAAAAAAAAAATTCGTATAAATAAACCAGTCTCTGGTCTAAAACTACTTTTTGTTGCCACTACGATCCGTTCATACACATTGTAAATTGACAAATTCAGTATTTATCTTGCTAAAAAAAAAAAAAAAAAAAAAAAAAAAAACTTTAGACTACATTCTCATAACCTTATCGTACTATCAGGATCGACCTATCTCAGCGGGTATTCTTGCTAAGGCACAGGCTGTGTAATCAGCGTAATTGTCTGGCAAGCCCCCTCGCAAAGCAACATACATCATTGGTCACAAAGTATTCCTGACCTTACCCAAGTACTTAAAGTCACGTGCGTGTGTGCCAGGCAAACTGAACGCAATTAAGCGAGAATCCCCAAAGAGTTAGAATGGGTCAGCCAGCATGATAACTTAAAATAACCGATGTGCTTACTTGAAACCAAACATTCTGCAGACCACACGAGCATCGTTGACATCCCAGCTGTCATCACAAACAGTGCCCCATTCACCATCATGGAACACCTCAACTCTGCCCTCAAGGACACGAGCACCATCCACCAATCTCACTTCAACTGCAAGGAATTGTGGATAACGAGCAGCAAAGATTTATATAAGCACTTACCAAACAGGGCATAAAAATCGTGCCCAATGCGTAAGTCATTAAAACAACATTATGATACCCTCTTGGATCAATGGAAAAAATAATGTAAATACCATTTTGTAGCATGACTAAAACTTGTAATTTAAGAAAACAATAAGTTCACCCACCAGGCCCTGCTGTGGAACATCTGACACCAGCATCCTCAGAGTGACCACAGTTGTGTGTCCTCCAACCGTTGTGTCTGCAATCTTTGATAGATGCTTCGTTCCCAGAGCAGGCGACGTTATCCATTAGAATGGAACCAGTACCTCGACCGAAATGGGCGCCGTAAAAGGAAATTGAATACTTGGGGCTGGAATTTGCAAGCCACATCAAATATTTGATATTTTTTAATGGGTTACAATCTTAATGATTAAAATTCGTAGCAAATGAAACATTAAAGATGTGCTCACTTGTAACTAAGCATTCTGCAGACCACACGAGCATCGTTATCATCCCAGCTGTCATCACAGACAGTGCCCCATTCGCCGTGATGGAATACCTCAACTCTTCCCTCACTGGCACGAAAGCCACCCACCAATCTCACAACTGCAAGGAATTCGGGATGACCAGTAAAGTTTTATATAAGGACTAACCATCTGCCGAATGTGAAAATCATTTAAACAACATTATGATACCCCATCGGGTCCGTGGAAAAGTAATGTAAATGCCATTTAGTAGCATGCATAAAACTTATAAATTAAGAAAACAATAAGTTCACCCACCAGGCCCTGGTGTGAAACATCTGACACCAGCATCCTCAGAGTGATCGCAGTTGTGCCTAAAATTAAAGCTGCAATCTGCGATAGATGCTTCGTTCCCAGAGCAGGCGAAGTTATCCATTAGAATGGGACCAGTACCTTGGCCGAAATGAGCGCCGTAAAAGGAAACTGAATATTTGGGGCTGAAATTTGTAAGCCACGTCAAATAAGTTGACATTAGTAGATTTTTTTTGAAATGGGTAAAAATCTTTATGATTAAAATTAGTAGCAAATGAAAGATAAACTAAATGATGAACTTACTCGTAACCAAGCATTCTGCAGACCACTCGGGCATCGTTGACATCCCAGCTGTCATCACAGACAGTGCCCCATTCACCCATATGGAACACCTCAACTCTCCCCTCAAGGGCACGAGCACCATCCACCAATCTCACTTTGACTACAAAGAATTGTAGATGACGATCAACAAATGATTTCATTAGAACTAATTAATTGGTCACACATTGTTTCTTACAAAACTGGGTGATTTTGACATTTATTTTGAGTATGACACTAGCAAAATGTGGAAATGTTGCTTTTTTTATTATTATATTATATTATATTATATTATATTATATTATATTATATTATATTATATTGATCTTAAAGGTACATACGAACCGATCATCGGTGGAGCGTGGATTTCCAGTAACACATATAAACCATTTCTAATAGTTTCTTATACGACTCAATTAAATTCGACATGCGAAGGGATAAACTGAATAAATCACTCGATCACCTGTAAAAGAGCTTTAAGCTGCTCCTTTCTTAATATTTTTGGTCAGGAATTTAACCTACTTTCGTGACCCACTTTTCTGCCCCATTGACACACAATATAAAATGCTAGCAGAAAAATCCCCTCAGGCATCATTATCAGGTAAAATTAAACAATGTCTATTGGTAATTCTCTTAGTTATCCCCGATAAAGAATATTTACAAACCGAAATTACCTCAAAGGAACTTTTGAGGGTACTGAAAAAAATGAGAAATAACAAATCGCCTGGATCTGACGGCTTTACTGCAGAGTTTTATCATTTTTTGGAATGATTTATATAGTTTTCTAATAAGATTTCTATTAATGAAAATGGGAAAATGATGGCTTGTCAACATCCTGGGATTATAACCTGTATTCCAAAAAGCCGACAAAATCAGAAAATTTATGAAAAATTGGGGGCCTATAACCCTTTTAAATGTTATTTACAAGATGATCTCTGGCTGCATAGCAGAAATAATGAAACTCTCTTTTGATAAATTATTTCTAATTCTCAGTCCGGGTTTATTGCCGGAAGATATATTGGGGAAAATGCAAGATTGATTTATGATCTAATGCGTATTGCAGAAAAGCAAAATATTCCTGGTTTACTCATTCTCATTGATTTCAAAAAGAATAATAAGGATATTTGTGGAATAAAACTTAGTGGCATCGAATTTAAAATAACTGTATGCTGATGACACCACCATTATATTAGATGGTAAAAGGTCTTCTTTCTCAGAATCTTTCCGTACATTAGATTATTTTTGAAAAAAAAAATCATGACTCCATATCAACAACAATAAGACTAAACCAGTGTGGAGTGGTTCAAGAAAATAAATTCGGATAGATCTTTTCAACGAAGGAAAAATTTTAACCAAAGCTGAACAGGAAAGGAAATTTGGACTCCAAAGAGTATGTGATCTAAAATATTTTGGAATACGTAACAGTTTAAAATGTAGGTTAAAAGAAAATAACAATGAAGAAACTTTTGAAGAAATTTTATTTCCTTATATTCCTCAGCTAGTTCAGCTTCTTATAAAGTGTCGAAATGGGTGTAAAGATTTATGTTAGGTTCTCATGAGTGAAACTCTTGAAAACTTGGTTCACATGAAAGGAAATGGAACCTAAGTCTTAATCGGCTGTTTCACAATCAGGGTGAACAATTAAATGTGGTTACTGTTACAAGTGTCTGATAAATTAACAATTTATGATTGGAGATTACTGATAGACTAATATCAAAGACACTGTTCATAAGAGCAAAATAAAAAAAAAAGAATTATAATAATCGGATTACAATTTACAAAAATATAGCCAATTATGTGTTCAAAAAGTATCTATTTTTAGCTGTTACGGTGGGTCATTTGCAATTAAGGTCATAAAGGTGATGCACTAGCTCTTTATGTCAATGATTTATGGTGAATATGATATTGGTATATAATTCCCACAACATCTGTCTTCTCTTCTAGCAGGTTCTTCCAAAGATATGTTCAAAAAAAAAAAATAACCATTTTGCAGAAACGGGCTTTAATACACATTTTAATTATTTTTGTTAATGCAATGAAAATCATTTTTGATAAGGCCAAATGTTACTTTGAAATCACCTACGTGATAATAAGATAAATTTACCATGTTATGACTTAAACATAATAAAGGAGNCTTGGTGTCTCCTTCTTTTTGTAGTTCCGTCCCCCCCCCCCCCAATCTGGTTTCTTTGTGAATCACAGCATTATCTGTCTGATTTTATTATTCTATAATGTCTACACTGACGTTTATTTTGCAGGAAGAAAATAGCACATAATCCCTTATTATGAAAAGATCTGCAAGAATTTGGTGCCAAATGTAGTGTCCGTACCCCTACTGTAGTGTCCGTACCCCCAAGTTATACATTAACCATTGGATAACTGGCTACTTATCAATGATGATAAAACTTCAAAATATGGTACAAAATATTGTTTTAGACTATATAAAATGCATTCATGTCTTATAATTTTTAGTAAAAAACATTGTATATAAATATACATGTATATTCGATAAAGTGATACTGATTAATTAGAGTCAGGCAAGAGATTTTGCAAAGAAATAATATCAGTAAAGATGCTACTCTTTGCATTCAAAATGAACAATATTGGTTTGAATATATTGCCAAATATAGCTAATTGCAAAATAATAAACTGTATATGGATAAATATTCTATGGATTTTATATATATTAAAATGTATATGAAATATTTTGAGGCGGTAGGAACACTTCAATACATGCATAATCAACAGTACATTTATTATACTCTCAGTGAATGAAGTATCAAATACGGATGACAATAAACAAAAAGCCAAATAGGAAAAGAAAAAGGGATCCTGAAAATTTTACTGTCAGCAAAAAATAATTTGAAATAAAAAAGACGTCAAAGACCTAATATCCGTAAAGATAATCCTGCTGAAGCACGAAAGGAAGACGTTGAATGCACGTAACATAGCGGAGAAGCAAATAAATGAAGAATCATCCTAGGCTGAAAGCAAGAAAGACTAAAGTAAAGAGAAGAAATTAGGGCATACTGACAGAGAGTCAAGGAGAGGCAGAAAGCCAACAATCCTGAAAACAGTAGAACAAGAGGTGCAAATTAACGAGAGATGAAAAAGAAAAAAAAAAGACTCCAAAAGAGGAATCAAAAAATAGATAAAAAAGGTCAATCAACAGAAAGAAAAGTTTAAATTAAAGTCTGGTGAATGAAAGTCAAACTGAATGACACACAACCAAGCTCCTGCATCCACTGAAAAACGTGTTGTGGTGTTTCTCTAAAAAAACTCTTTGATTAATACATGTATCCTTTTGGCTAAAGTACTGCTGTTATATCTTTAGTTTGATATTTTTTAGAATTTTGGCGAAAAATAACTGGCAAATAATATGATATTTCAGCTACAAAAGCATCAGTGACTTGAATGTGTAGTGTCCGTACCCCCAGATCATAGTCTAAGGGGCGTTCTGTTAATTTGAGCGTAGCACAAAAAGTAATTAATATTGTGTTCTAAAAATTGTGGATATCATAGATAAGATGTTATTCTTTTTAGCTGTTACAAAATTAAACAAATGCATCAGAGTTCATGTTTCTCTCAATGTGACCCCTATTCTGTACCCCTGATTGTGAAACAGCCGTAATACAAATATCACCTGGAAGTATGCTTATGAGAATTGCTTTCATGTTGCACGAGAAACAAAACTTCAATATTTCCAATACAGAATAATTTTGAGAATCTTACCAGTTAAGAATCTTACCTGAAAAGAATCGGAAATGGGGTGTCAGAGAAATGCTTTATCTGCAGAACGGAGAGAGAAGATTTGTATTTTTAAATCGCTTTGGAATTTGAAACATTTGGACTGAAATGGAACATTTGAAGGCCAACAAAACTAATGAAAGAATTACACTCTCTGATGAAAATGTAATTTTGGAGTATCCAAAACGAAGTTCAAGGCTCTAAGTTATATTATTCTCATTTCCAAAATTTTATATATACCTGTTTTAAAAGAAAAATGCAGCCGACCTTCCCTTCTCTTCTGTCATATATCAAAATGTCATGTGTCGTGTAACGTGCAGCATCACTTGTATTATATTGTATTGTACGTAGTCTAGTTATCTATATATATTTCAATGTTTACTTAATGTATAGTGAGTGTCTTGTGTGTGTTTGTGTGTGTGTGTTTGGATATGTATTTTTGTTGTCTTTATGTGAAAAAAAATCTCTTAGTTATACTAGTTGAAATGCTGGCATTTGGTTGTCTTTTGCGGCTAAAATTGACTTTATATGCATCTTTAACGTTTTCGAGTATATTCAAGTTGTTAACTATTGCATAAGACTTGGGTCCATGGCCAACATAATTTAAATAGCATAATGTAGCATGACTAAAATAGGTGATTGAAAAAAAAAACAATCTGTTCACCCACTAGGTAGTCTTTTGAAACATGTGACACCAGCATCCTCAGAGTGATCACAGTCGTGAGACCTCCAACCGTTGTGTCCGCAATCTTGGATAGATGCTTCGTTTCCAGAGCAGGCGACGTTATCCAGTAGAATGGAACCATTACCTGCACCGAAATGAGAGCGGTACAAGGGATCTGCATGCCAGGTGCTGGAATTTGTAAGCCACATCAAAATTGGTTGACATAGCCAGGGTTAAAAAATTGGTTAACAATCTTTATGATTAAAATTAGTAGCAAATGAAAGATAAATTAAACAATGTGCTTACTTGTAACCAAGCATTCTGCAGACCACAAGAGCATCGTTTTCATCCCAGTCGTCATCACAGACAGTTCCCCATTCACCGTTATGGAACACCTCAACTCTTCCCTCTCTGTCATTAGTAGAACCCACCAATCTGACTTTAACTACAAATAATTGTGTATGACGATCAACAAATGTTTTCATTAGAACTACATGTAACTATTTGGTCACACACTGTTTCTTACCAAACTGTTTCTTACCATTTGGGGAGGAACCATTGCTTTTTATGTTGACTAAATTATATTATATTATATTGATCTTATAGTCTAGTGAGATTTTTGAAAAAAAAGGTTCTGCATAAGAAGCAAGGGGCATTTTGGGGTAAAAGTTGGGAACCAGGCTTATGAGCATAATTTTGGCATGTTAAATCCGATTAACCCGGAAAAAAAATGGCCGCCGGATTTCCAAGTTTCTGCAATATCTCTGGAACTAGACAGGCGAACATGACAAATGAAGTGTCTTTACCTTTATTTTCAGGGTAGAGGAACATTATTAAGATATTTCTGTTAGAATTAGATTTACCCAATTTTAATAAATATGCAAATTAGGATCGCCATTACTGAAAAACCGTTTTACTTCTGTATCTCTGTAACTAGGCAAGCAAATATGAAACATGAAGTATTTACACCTATGTTCTCAGGGTCAGGGAATGTGATAAATCAGATGTCTTGTCTGATGGATAGCACTGACTTTGTGAATCTTGTCCGAGTAGCACCTTTTATTGTTTCTTCCCTGTATCTGTCAAACACAAGTCAATTTGCTGATAGTTAGAACCTGCCTTCAGAACTGCGTTAACTAGGCAAGCAAACATAGCACATGAAGTGCCCACACCCATGTTTTCAGGTTAGGGAAAGTGGTTAAGACATTTCACTTTAACCAAATCAGAAATACGGCTACACTGGCACACTGTAGCAATTTTCGAATCTGTATTGAATTTGGCAATTAAATAATGCGCTGCCATTGGGATGTAAACATATTGGATCACTACCTAAATTCAACGTAAAATCAACGTTGATCCAGCCACGTCAAAACACCGTCATAATGTGATGTTGACTCAACATTGTATTTTGGTCATTGACACAACCTTGCAGACATGAATTGCAAATTAAAATATCAATTATTGAAAACGTGATACTTTGTTTATCAATATTGTAACTAACTTTATCAAAATAATAAAAAGTGTTTTAAAGTAAAAGTGACAGTTGTTTTGTGTCTTCAGTGAACTAGTGAATTTTCTTAACTTGTTATTCAGAAATACATTCCAATAACTAAGAGTCTGCAAAATATCAAACTCTTCTGACTGGGCGTTGCCGAAATATGGAGACTTATTCTGCAGAACTGCTACCTTTTTAAACGCAATCTGTAACCAGCCAAAGAGGACTGTACACAGACACTGCCTCATATTACGCAAATTAACCGCGCTTCACAGAAAGCAGCCTAATGAACAATAACCAACACACCTCGCTACACATATACCTGATCACAATTGTTGTATGTGATCAACTTTTCTAAAAAGTTAATTTATTATCAGCACTTTGCTTTTGAACTAAAATATTCCACATTAAATGCAAATCTGCATGTGCATGTATATACATGTACTTCAAGTACACGATGACATCCCACCTCATTCAATTTAGCGATTTTTCCATAAGCTTATTACTGGTTACCTATTGCTATCGTTTCATTTTAATAAACAACATTTCTTGAATTTTGGCTTTAATCTTCTGATGTTCTATTGAATCCAATTAAATGATTGACGATCCGGAAATTATTCCTGTGTTAATAGCAAGTTTGAAGTCTGAACAGTTCCTCAAGCCTCTAAACAATTTCGTTGAGACCAAATCTGTATTAACAAAAAGGTTAACAGAAGACGTAGTCTACCCTGATGAAATTAAACTGAATGACTCCTAACCCAGTGTCGGATTTAAAAGGGGGGGGGGGGGTCAGGGGATCCTGACCCCCCTCTTCGATTTCTGGTCCCCCTCTTGAAATTAAAATTTTGACAAGCTCAATCATAGTTGTTTACCATACCAACTGGCACCCTTCGCCCTCTTATATACCAACATTTTTCGGGACCCTTCAACAGGACCCTAACCCATGCCGAGTGTGTGTGTGTGTGTGGGGGGGGGGGGGGGGGCGGTTTTGCATCCGCAGACTCCTCCCCCCTTCAAATAATCCTAGATCCGCCTCTGCTCACCTAGCCTTATAACTGATGGGCAAGCCTGGGAAAGCCTGATCATTTCTAATGCAGTGACCTTTGGTAGTTTGGCTGACACATACGAAAGAGCCAGTCTGAAGGCAGGTTCTAACTATCAGCAGATTGACTTGTGTTTGACAGATACAGGGGAGAAACAATAAAAGGTGCTACTCGGACACGATTCACAAAGTCAGTGCTACCCATCAGACAAGATATCTGATTTATCACATTCCTTGACCCTGAGAACATAGGTGTAGACACTTCATGTGTCATATTTGCTTGCCTAGTTACAGAGATACAGAAGTAAAACGGTTTTTTAGTAATGGCGATCCTAATTTGCATATTTAGGAAAATTGGGTAAATCTAATTCTAACAGAAATATCTTAATAATGTTTTCGACCCTGAAAACATAGGTAAAGACACTTCATTTGTCATATTCGCCTGTCTAGTTCCAGAGATATTGCAGAAACTTGGAAATCTGGTGGCCATTTTTTTTTTTTTTTTTGCAAATTAGACCGTTAAAAACGCAAAATTTCGCTTGGGGACCGGGTTAGTCGGATTCAGCATCCCACAATAAGCCTGGTTCCCAACTTTTACCCCAAAATGCCCCTACTATTCATATTTTGTGGAAATCCCACTAGACTATTAAAGGTACATACGAACCGATCATCGTGGAGCGTATATTCCCAGTAACACATATAAACCATTTCTATTAGTTTCTTATACGACTGACATAAATTCGACATGCAAAAGTATAAACTGAATAAATCACTCTATCACCTGTAAAAGAGATTTAGACTGCTCCTTTCCTTAAATGTTTGGTCAGAAATTTAACCTACTTCCGTGACATACTTTTCTGCCCCATTGACATTCAGCATAGAATGTTAGCAGAAAAATCCGTTCCTACATCAACATCAGGTAAAATTAAACAATGCCTTTTGGTATTTCTCATAATTATACTACTTGAAACTATACGCTGGCATTTGGTTAGTTTTTGTTTCAAAAATTTGACTTAATATGCATGTCTAACGTTTTCGAGTATATTCAAGTTAACTAGTGCATACATGTAAGACTCGGGTCCAAGCAAAAATAATGTAAATAGCATTATGTAGCATGACTGAAATACGTCTTTTCACCCACCAGGTGGTGTTCTTAGGACACATCTGACACCAGCATCCTCAGAGTGATCGCAGTTGTGTGTCCACCAACCGTTGTGACTGCAATCTTTGATAGAGGTCTCATGCCCAGAGCAGACGACGTTATCCATTAGAATGGGACCTGTGCCTTGGCCAAAATAAGCGTTGTAAAAAGAACGAGAGCCGATTTGCCTGTAATTTGTAAGCCACGTCAAATTAGTTGACATAACCAGATTAAAAAAAAAAAGAATAACACTTTTACGATAAAAGTGAAAAAGAAAAGAAGCATAAAATAAACAATGTGAAAGAAAAGAAGTATAAAATAAACAATGCGCTTACCTGTACCCAAGCATTCTGCAGACCACATGGGCATCCAAGTCACCCCAGGCGTGATCACAGACAGTGCCCCATTCACCGTTTTGGAGCACTTCGACCCTGCCCTCACCGGCACGAGTACCACCCACCAATCTCACTTCAACTGCAAGGAATTGTGGATAATGATCAGCGAAGTTTTATATAAGCACTAACCATTTCATAACACCTTGCTGACAGCAACTTGTTATTAGAGGATATTACCTACATAAGAGGATTGTGGGAAATGACACAATTATAAATGTAAACAAGACATGTAATAGAGGGGTCATGTACGTTACCATTATTCTGTTATACTTGAAATTTTATATTTATTTCCCATTTAATTTTATTATAAAAATCACTTCATTTGAAGAGAAAGGATCAAAATCTCTCAAATAATGGTATCTACATATATAACCCTCATTAGTGCAGTACAAAATATAATATTGATAATTTAATGTTATATTTTGTTATATAATTTTGGCGGCCATATTGGATTTAACAGTCATTTTGAAGTTAACTGGTAGGTTTTTTTTATAATTTGGAAACATAGCATTCTTAAAACCTGTTTAAGAATTTTTCACATGGTGTTTTCTAGCATGAAAGTTATATAAATGTGACTTTTGATTTTGCCAGAATGGAAAGCATAAATAAGGTAATATCAAAATAATTAGAGCGCTGAAGTTAGTGTCTAGTTTCTTGTTTCCAGTTTCGTTTTTCAAAAACGAACATGGCAACTAGAAACCAGTTTCGTTTTTTAAAAACGATTCTGCCAACCAGAAACTAGTGTAGTTTTTCGAAACGATTCTGGAAACTAGAAGGTATTGTCGCCTTTCAAAAACGATTCTGAAAGAAGCCAGAATCGTTTTGCAAAGAAAGAGAGGTAAGGGGTGGACAGAGGGAAAGGCAACCGGTGTAACGAAACGGAGAGTCCTGCCCTTTTAAGGTCAGGCGGACGCTATGTTTTAAAACTGACAGTCCGCAAGACACTAAGTACCGAAACCTACTGTCCGGGGGACACTGCATTTTGAAACGTAGGGACCCCAGACCGCCAGTTTTAAAATGGAGGGACCGCTTTGAAATTCCGAGTCCTTTCAGAATGATCGTCGTTATTGTCCACAATCGTACACAATTGTATTTTTAAATAATTATAAGGAAATAAACATTCGTTATTTTTTTTGTACATGTTAAGAAAACTACTAAATACGGATGGAAAAGTAAACAATAAGTAAACAAATACAAAGAAAGAATAACAATCAATTTTATTCAATCTGACTTGTGTTAATTTTCATTTATTCCACTCGTAGATGGTTGTGGTTAATCTTCGTCGTCTTCTGGTAGTGTTCTGTAATATAGAAATTTTATGTTAAAGCATATGTTTAATAGAAAAACGATCATGTTATAATACAATAATTCTAAACAAATATGGATATATGGGCATGTCTGAAAATTCCAAAATGGCCGTCAAATCCAAGATGGCCGCCAAAATACCTTTTCAAATTATAACTTCAAGTACATAGTCTTCTAATGACTTAAAATATCATAAAAAGGTTAGAAAACACAATGGAATGAATCCTTCAGGTGTATAAAATCCAAAATGGCCGACAAAATTAAAAAAGCAGACCACTTATTCAAGATATCCATTAGAATGATGAATTCATCATGCACTTAAAACTACAAGCATAAAATTTGGCACATTTGTGGAAAATGAAATTCTGAGCAAGTTTGGATATATGGGCATGTCCGAAAATTTAAAATTGGCCGCCGAATCCAAGATGGCCTCCAAAAATACGGCTTCTAATTATAACTTCAATTATATAGTCTTTTAAGGGGCTAAATATCATATAAAGGTTTAAAAACACCACAGTATGAATTCAGTATCAATATCTACTTCTTTAGGTATATTCAATCCAAAATGGCCGTTTGTTATGAGACAAATCGCTTGCAACTTGCAACAAAGGGGGATGTCTGACAGTGTGGTCACAATACATGTTTATGAAAGTACGGTGAATTAACTTAGACATCGCTCAAAGAGGAGGGGGCTTACTATAGCCCGCAGTCTATTGTTAAACGCGATCATTATCTTTTCTCAGACACCTGGGTGCTCAGCACTATTATGAAAAGGAAAAATGACTTAACGTTTCATGCACAATCATCATCGAAAGCCTATTATCATTATGCTCCATGTGCAGTCGATTTTTATCAAAATAAAAAAAGTGTTTCAGACAAGCAAAATCTAACTTTCCTTTATAACTGTGACTGAATAGCGAAGAGTTACATACACTCGGTTATAAAATTACAAATGTTATTATGAGGCTAATTTCTCTAATGTGGAATGAAACATTTTGTTGGCTTTCAAATGATAGGACACTCACTATCATCTTAAAAGTAGTTAGCTTATGTGCACGTTCCCCTAACGCACGTGCAAAAAAGTCACATCAAATAACCAGATACATATCTGTCTATACTGGTAACTAGTGAAAATATATCTGTGGCCCTGATAATGGGTAGACACTCACCGCGTTAGCTGCGACAATGATTATTTCTTCACAGTGATTTATTCATTTAATTATAAAATCATAATTTATTTATTAAATTATTTGAAATAATGTATCTTTTATTTAATGATTTATACCATCTAATTTTTATCTATTTTTATTTGTTTCTTAATGTCATCTAATTATTTACTAAATTCTTGAAATAATTAATTAATTGATTTATTTATTAAGACTTTCTATTATTTATCCTTTTACGGATTCGCTCTATTATTTTATATAAAATGTGACTTAATGTAGTAATTGAGGTAACACGTCAGCTTGTTATGTGAATAAATTGTTTTAATTATGTTTCTTTCTTTGTTATTTCTAAACAGTAATCTATTTTAACACAGGTCTCGATGTTGGAAATTTATGTACGGAGCATGTTTAAACTTTCTGAGACGGGGTGATTTGTTGATCATGCTGATGTACGATGCTGATGCATGTTTATCAAATTCAATTTTTGACCACGGAACACTTCATATTGAATTAAATAACTGATGCTAAATTAACTAGCAGTTTTCTTGCAACACTTAAAACATGATCAGCTGCGCTTGCCAAGCTACTGAACAAAAGGATAGCTGGCTGTGTATACTCTAGGTTCTAGATTCCGGTATTGCCAGTTCGATCTTGATTTCATATACAACATTGGTCAAAAAGGTTGTCCCACCCCCATTTCCATGTACTTTTATTTACAAATGATCACCTCACAGCTGTGAACTGTTAGAAATAGTGCTTTTTATTACGGACACCGTGTCTAACATGATTAATGGTTAAAAAATACAAAATAGTGGTGAAAATATACACATTTTATACCATTTAGTAAGATTTATGAGAGGTACCCCCTCAAATCGACTGTTTCACTGTGACTTCTACAGATGTAAAGAAATGTCTATAAAATTGAAAAGACGCCATCAAATGTCACCAAATTCACACACAATTAGCATTAGGGTGAGCTCGTTAAAGATCACGTGCCTAACAGCGTGTGCGTCTACCACGTACTGCAATTATCAGGGGCGGATTTAGGCCGTCTTCTGGGTCTTCCAGAAGACGGTCAGATTTTCAAGTTTACATTGACGGGTATCCAATTTTTAATGTTGGAAGACGGTCAAAATTGGAGGATGAATCAACAAAGATAATTTGGAAGACTGTCAGTATATAGCTCTGGATCCGCCCCTGATTATCTCCTGTAGACATTATTATCTCCTGCGACAAGCCTTCAACATGGGTAACAATTCTGTTATGTGGGATATTGTCCCATTCATCCTATAGAGCGTGGCGGCATTGGTCAAGATTATTTAGGAATTGGTTCTCCTATGCAATGCACATTCCAATTTATGCCACAGGTTCTCAGTAGGATTAATATCAGGACTCAAAGACGGTTGTCTTATCCTCAGAGCCCTGTGCTTCTGCAACAAATCGTTTGCCAGACGAGAGCTGTGAGCAAGTGCGTTGTCACAATGAAGCCAGTAGCATCCCTAAAGTCACCTCTTGCAAATGGAGTGAGATTTCTGTTGAGAATGTTACATTAAAATGCCCCTGTTACGTTTTGTTCCAAAAGGAACAATGTGCTAATACCATGGGCTTGGAATGTTCTCTAAATGCGGATTGATCTAACACCTCAGGCAATATTACCCTACACACACCCTTCCAAGAGGCATTTTTAACATGTCTATGGACCCTCTTTGACCATCGATGGGACACAAGAAATAATTTGATTCCGCATCAAGATCGACTTCCTTCCAGTGATGGATGGCCATGTTCAGGTTCCTGTGGGATCACTGAACGTAGCATTCTCAGCTGATATCTCATTCCATCTTCAAGAAATGACTTTGGGGTTAACGCCAGGCTTTATCATGACTGCACACAATTTATAGCTGTAAGGTGATCATTTGTAAATAAAAGTACATGGAAATGGGGGTGGGACAACCTTTTTGACCAATGTTGTATAACCCATGTCGCAATACCAGCCTCTGGTGCACAGCGGCCATGTTAGGCTCCCGTCAATCAAATAGAACGGCTCCGCAGTGAATCTGCAGTTGAATGTCATCAGACCAAAATGAAACGTAAAACAGATTTAATTCTGCTTTATTTAATTTTATTTGCTGTATTTAAGATATGTAAAGTGAGAAATAAATAATATGTTTCTAAAAGAAAAAGGTATATCCAATGTTTTTGTATTTTTTGCTTATCAAAGAACATTTAGTCCTGAGATAATAGACACAATACACGTGCTTGCCGTGTGCCAAGTTTGACAGCTACACTGGATGCCCGATACCACTATAAGGGCTGCGCAATGGCTACACCAAAATCAATTTTTAAAGCAGAATGTTGCTTGTATTGTGGCACTGACCTTCGACTGCAAGATATTTTCAATTCAACTTCTAAATCCGCGTCAGACACTTGTCTCGTCTGCACGAGATAACGTCAGCGCAAGGCGGGAAAGGCAGCTCCAGGCGGTTAAACCTGTAACGTACGAGACTTATGACTTCCAAATATGGATCCAGGCGGACACAGCTGTGACGTGTGACTTCCAAATATGGAATTGCCCCAGGCAAAATTTTGAAGAAGAACGCCCTCAGATTGTCGCTGTTCGTCAGAGCTAGTGAAAGTGACTCCAAGGTATGTTAAATATTAAACAAACTAACTTTCACGTTGCTCTGACACTCAGGGTAGCTGTGTAACGTGTACAACAATTTTCACGATTTTCAAATTTTTGCTCAATTTAGTTTCTAATATGCCTCCAAATGGGGTCAAACGGCTGGCAAATGGACACTGAGGGAAACTACTGATGTCACTAAGTANCTCTCTCTCTCTCTCTCTCACACACACACACACACACATTGTGACACTCTCTCTCTGTCATGCACACACACATAAGCACATGGCAAAACACATACAGAGTAGAACCTTTTGTTTTACATGCCTATTTAACGCGCACATAAATTTCACATCCCGAAAAATTGCTGAATTCTGTAAGCAATTTACATGTACATTTAATATACATTAAACATTTACTATTCATTTCAGGTTTTCTAACGCTATTTTGGGAAGCTGTGATCACGCTGAATATGTTTGTACTGATTAGAAAAAATCACTCTACTCAGGACTTTGAAGAGTACGGTGAAAACGTTATGGAGAAGTTGGGGATTGTAACATTAAAGTTTTGATATTTTACATTTTTACAATACCAACATAGAAGCCATCTTCACTTAGGGGCTTAATGCTTATTTCAACCTCTACATCCGTTGATTTTTGGATTTGTATTCACTGCGAATCATATGATAATGTCACGTTTCATTTTATTCACACTCAGATATCCAATGTTGCTGATAAATTGTCAATATGACTATTTTTCTTGCAGCATTTACGTCATATCTGGTGTGATAATCACCGTCATAGTTGCCACAGTACCGTTTACGCAACAAGCATATGGCCCTTCTGGAATCTACTGGTAAGAAAAATATATAAAAAGGGAAAAAGGTACATATATGATAACTTTGAATATATAAACCAATTCCTTATTAAACATGTCAATTTTACGCAGTTTTGAAATTTTGAAATTAATTATTTTATTTTATTTTATTTATATATCTTATAAGACAAGGAGAGAGAGAGATAGCAAAAATTGCCTAGTTTATGCAATACATTTCATAAAATGAGTAACAAGTAAATGCTTCATTTTCAGCTGGGTGAAAGATAACTATGTGGCGTGGAGGATAGGAATGTAAGTATTGTAATACGCTACACTGTAAAGAAGCCAATGAAAGAGAGAAACAGCCTAATGCTTCATTGAAACAAACTATAAGAATTGAAGATGGAATGAAAAAGAAAAGACGAACTGACTCTGACACGGTCTAGCAAGTACGGAGGGAATACGCGAAGTAGAATGTCAAATATTCAACAAAAATGCATAATTAACATACGGTTACTTACGTTCAGAAAAATCGTAACTTAAGTGAAATTGGGTTTTTACATGTAAGGTCTTTTTAACATCATGGTATCCACTTTGCTTTTCTGTTTCGTACCAAAATAACTTGAATTATCTTCCTTGTCTTCACACTACGGGGCCTTTACCCCTTGTCACAAGTTCGCTTCTACGTGTACCTGTTTATCCCGATCATAATAATATCATGTTAACTCTTTAGATAACTTTTTGGCATAATATCTAGCCTTTTTTTCAATAATTAAAAGTTGTACATCTCTCCAAATGGTGAAAAACAGAAAAATGCAGAGTCACGATATGAAAAGAGCATAAAAGAGAGTACAGCAAAAGCCGCAATGCCACTAAACAACCAATTAAAAAAATGAATTGAGTGGGAAATAGTTTAGCGAAGGTTTATGTTATTTGTGAACAAGTGTCGCCAATATTTCAGAAAAAAAAAGCATGAATAATAATCATTAACAATAAACAAACGGTTACTTCAGGAAAACACAAAATGCTTTCAAAAGGCTTATTATTTTCTTCATATTTTCAGTTGGTACGGCCCTCTGTATATTTTATTGGCTCTGATGTTTACCTCTAACATCTATATTGCCTGGTACCTTCGAAAATTGGTGAGTTGCTGAAATTTCTCTAATAATTTCTAGTGCTTGTGTATGGTTCTGTGTCTAGTCAGTGACAATTTTTTTCAGAGATTTTGATTTCCAATTTGCCATTTTTCAAAGTGATAGTGGCCTAACGGGTTTTAATGGGCAAAAGGAAGGTTCCATTAATTGTCTTTAATTTATTTCAGAACCAAGGGTCGGTTATCAGAGATCGAGGCCAGAACCCAAACCTGGAGCGAATGATAGTAGGTTTCATAAACACACTACCTTACTGCGACTATCTTTATGTAATAATGACGTAATCATGACGTCAACATGTCACGTGATTATCTGGTGACGTCAGTGAGATTATTTTCGTACTTAAGGGTATTTGTTTCAATTTTGTCAATCTATAGATTAATCCCGTTCGATATTGAAAATAATGTAATAGTTCACATCATGCCCTAATAAGAGCATTGCAAATTTGATGTATTTTATGGTAAAGTGTCTATATATTATAACCTCTAATGTTACTGTTTTCTTTTAACAGTCTCGTGTTAACCAAGATGTGCGGACTCTCCTGGGCTATCCTATAGTTTACCTCGTACTGGCGATATTCACTCTGGCAAATAGGTATGCCATGGGCGACTTCAGTAGGGGATTGGGAGGGGGTGCGCAATGGACTAGTCATCGATACGATTTATCTTACAATATTCAAGACTAGTCCTATCCCAATTCACTAAGTGGGAATTTGCGTCGGTATTTATAATGCGTTTCTAGTTTTTTTTAGTTCATCTGAAACATTGAATATGTGATATAGTGTAATACCTATCGGTAATCTTTTGAAGGTAGCCCCCTCCCCCAAAACTCCCTATTTACTGCCTTACATACATTCATTTGGGCCACGAATAAATCTTCAGTGTTCAGTGACTAAATTAATAAACATTAACACATATGTCATCTTACGGGTGACGTCATAATTGCGATTTTGGGATAAAAAAATAATAAATAAATAAATAAATAAATAAATAAATGCACAAGACGGTATATATAGCAAGTAAAGCGATCGAGACCCAACCAAGCAACCTCAACTTCCCTGTGCCCTACACAATAAAGTAAAATTGTCATTTCGTTTTATTTTTCCGTGTATACTTATTTCATTCCGCCATTTTCATATAAATTGAATCATATTTATTTATTTATTTATTTATTTATCTCAAGACTCATCATTGATTTTTCTCTCTTTTTATAGAATACACAACGCCGTCCATGGAGATGCCAAGTCGAACTTTGGGCTGGTTGTGATATACACTATTTCTATCACCATCACGGGTGAGTACTCGTTTTCTTCATTTCTTTTTTCTCTCTTTCACTTTGAGAGATACAGTTTTATGGACGACACCAGTTAGTCAGATCATTATACTTAAAGGGATAAAAGCTCTTCGTATGAGATCTATATTTCACAATAAAAACATTGTGAACAATAACTCATAGAAATATAATATATTCTGTTTTACCACAAAAACGGCAGTTATAGTTATTATTCTGATATCTGAGCTTGTCTTTAGACCACGTGACCTCCATTGATGGCTATACTCTGTTAATATCTCTGAAGAGATTTAAACAAAAAACCAAACTTTTTAGAAAACAACTTTGACTAAACTAACTTTGAATGTAAAAATGGATTCATTAACCATTGGTAAGTATGGGACAATTGTTGTTTACTCCAGGAAAATTCATTTTTTGGCCGAAACGAAGAGTTATTATCCTTTTAAGTCCGCTCACAAGCCCAAATGCACCAATCAGAATTTATCCGGTTAACTAGTCGTATCGTGTGTGTGTGTGTGTGTATGTGGGAGGGGGGTGAGTTGAAGCCACATCTCTTACGTGGTACAAGGTATAGGCAGATATTTTTAGCTGCTGTTGTAAAAATGCATTACAATAAATATGAGCACAGAACACAGCTGATGAAATTCTTTGATCAGAAAAGAAATCCCCTCTTTCTTTCTCTCTCTTTCTCTCTCTCTCTTTGTTTTTTCTGTTTTTATTATCAGGACAGGGCATAATCAGATTATATTTAGATTGACACCAGAAGTCACATCAATTGATTATTCATGTGAAAGGAAAGAAACCCTTTGTAGACCAGACCCTGAATACAGACGGCGCGCAAAAAAAAAAAAAAAAAAAAAAAAAAACTTTTTGGTTTCAGTGACGTCACATAACTTTTCATTACGTCATAGCAGAATGTATTATATGCCCTACTAGTGACCATGCCCCCCTACATATACTCGTATTCATTCGAAAGTAAATAAATAATAAATAACTAAATCGTCCATTTGGGAAATTTTATTTAGGAATCACTGAAAATATTCACGAAGCACGGGTGTAGTTTTCCTTCTTTTTCTTATTGCTCTAGGCCGCGTGGCCACGTCTCATTCAGGTGGCTGGAATTGAAATATACTGTATATACTTAATAATATGTTGTATAGTCAAGGAAAATATTTAATCACGCTTTCTGTCAGGAAAAAATACGACAAGTGATGACGTATATAAAAATGGAATACAATCAAATGTGGTTCGTGACAAGAAGCTCTGGATGCCCCACTCTACTGTGAAGTAACGGGTTCAATTGGTGTAAATACAATGCGCGTTTGCCCTTTAAATTACCAAAAAAACTTTCCTGGAAATTTTAACAGTTTGTCGTTCATCATTACGGTATACAGCATTTAAAATTTAAATAATTGTAAAACTGTTTTCGAGATCTTAGTTCCGAATTTCTGCTGTTATAAGTGAAATTCATCAGTTTCCATCTGTATTATTGATTATGAGAGCAATGAAATGAAAGTCCTTGCCTTGCACTACAATAAACAGTCATCTAACAGATCTTAAACCATGAAACTACACTTACCCACTGGTTCTTGCAACGGCAAGACGTAAGGCAAGTTTGCCGTATTGGCTTCACTCCTTTAGGAGCCGGTGGAGGGCCCGGGCACCACATTTTACACTTGCAATCCTTTGGAGAACAATTTTCGCAGTCGACATTGGACGCTGTCACGTCGCTGACAAAGAACAACATACAGACCAATGTTAGAACAAGAAGCAGCTTCATTGTGTAGTTGGTTTGTTGGGTGCAGGTTACTATGCAGGAGGCCCTCGACGAAAAGAACAGAGCTTCGTTTTGTATCAGCTGGCAGCTCACAAGCTATAGAGTACTATGTTAATTTGAGGGTTTTTATAACTGAGTAATTCGCCGTTAACAGTGTATCGAAATGTTCTAATTTAGAATAATTGTGCAATATATCAGAGTGAACAAATTATGCATCATCTTGTTTGGAATAATTGAGTTTTTTTTCTCGTTGTGAAAGAAACTGACACCTCGATAAATGCTTGTAATTTACTATTGTTATTTTTTGGGAAGCAGTTGATGGGGAATTTGCGCTTACACCCAATTTAATGCATGGGAACAGCTGTGATGTAAAAAAGTCACGAGCATAAACGAAATAGACAGGAAATTTCCGCTTATTATCTGAACAAAAATTGATCTAGGGTGACAATAAATGACAAATAACTTTTTATTTATTACATGAACCTAAAATTGCAGATAAAAGTTCATGAAGTTGTTTTGGAGGCGTGGAGCGACGCTGCAGCCGTAATTTCCATTTACTGGAAATGAAATTCAATGTATTTTGGATCTGAAGGCCGCGTATAATTGTTTTAGATACGGTAATGAAGGGGGAGGGGGTGATATCATCGGGAATTTATTATTATTATAATTATTATTTTTATTATTATTATCGAACAAAGGCTATTGACTGCTAGCCTTGTGGGTTGAGCGTCCACCACCGGAGCGGGAGAACGTGGTTGCGACACCGTATAATTTAATTTTTTTCTTCAATCAAAAGCCATTAATATTGAAATTGTTAGTTATCGAAATATTGGTGGTAAACTATTTCAATATTTATAGTTGTTATTTGAAGAAGAGTAAAAAAATTAATTTTTATTATCATCGTTTTTTATTTTCCTTTCCAGGAACTTGTAATGCTGTAGTATTTGGTTGGAGCTCTGAAACTAGACACAACCTCAAACCGAAGATATTTTGGGTAAGAAAATGAGAAAATGAAATATTTATATGCTACATCGTGGCAAAATTCGCTTTTGTTCAGTGTAATAATGGCCTCTTTAACCTTGAAATTTAAAAGAACACAATTCATGTTATCGACAAGATGATAAAAATGAGCCTTACCCAAGGGTTTTTAGATGATTAACTCTATCTTTTACGGCAAAATGTCGGTTTGTCATCAAAACGTAAGTCATCAACAAATTAACATCAAGTGGTTGCTCTTAATGGCCTTTCTGATATTTTTAAGGCCCACTTGAAGACTTTCTACAAGGCCGAGCAAACCGACATCTACGAATTCCCATTAGACCAATCAGCCCCTGGTGGGGTCGGGCAAGATCCAGTTTGGTTTGTGACGTCACCAACCACTGCGCAGGCGCATGTGGAAGCGGAGTACGGGCAGAGTAACCCAATTGCCCTTGATGAAACTGACATTTGATAATTGACAATGTATTTGACAATGTAGAACGATATATTTGTGTGCACTAGAAGAATTGGGAATGGATTATTGTCTGTTAGGCCCCGTTTACTGTTTTTGTCCAGTTTAGTGAAATATTTAGTCTGTTTTATGGCAGCGCAAACATTTGTAATGTGTCAGAGCTATACTAACAAGGGCTAGATGAACTACCGGTACCATGCGTTAATCTTGAACGGAAGTAGATCAATTTTTTATTAGAGATGAGTCTCTTATCGAACTGTGGCAATTCGAAATGTGTACAAGGGCAGTGACGCCGTCAGGATCTCCATTTTAAAGTATGCTATACGGATATCAGAAAAAATGTTGTCCTAATGATAAATCATTGGTCAATACGTCCCATTACTTGGGTTTGGTGGTCTACATATGATGATATGATACTGTACAAGTACCCACCGATACTCGCTATTAAAACCTTACGTGACCAATTAACAGGCGTGAATGGAACTTCGACAATGGAGAAGTTTTCTCCCGCCAGCAGTGAATCCCCAGATCGGATTTAGATACCCAAGATTGTTATCATTTATGAGTGTGTGAAAAAATAAATTTTCAAACAAATTAGAATAGAAAGAAGTGAGGTGGGTCGACCGGGATGGGGGGGGGTCAGCGGTCGACTGACCTGTAGGGTCAGTGGTTATAAAGCAGTGTGCAGTTTTAGACTGTAGGACGCTGTAATTGTCCAGCATTTCCCAGGGAGTTAAGTTGCATTTTTTTAGCTTATATATTTTACTAACAGAGTATTGTGTGATTACTTCATTAAAGGGATAAAAACTTTTCATTTTGAGCAAAAAAGGGGGTTTTCCTGAGGTAAACAACGATTTTCCCATAACAACCAATAATAAATGAATACGTTCTAACATTCAAAGTTAATCCCTGTTTTTTTTTCTAAAAATGTTTTTCTTGTTATTATCTCTTAAGAGATTATTATGTGGTCGAATGACTAGCACGGATTCCACAATAATTGCGATTACCGCCGTTTTGGTGGTTAAATAGAATTTATTATATTGCTGTGGATATTTTACAATATATTTATCGGTGAATATAGATCTCATACGAAGAGTTGTTATCCGTTTTTAAAAAATCGAAAAGTACATGCGTGGTGACACACAAAAATCTTAGTCCATTAGATCTTATCGTTATGGCACTTTGTATGTAAGGGCGGGTCAGCTATGACCCTCATATTTTGTCTTTGGAGCTATATATGTCTCTTGCTAACTCTGCTGTACTTGTAAACTGCACCAACTCGGATCTTATTGAATTGTTGCCCAACGACATGCTGAATGTCCAACAAGTTAACTGCAGTCATTGAGGAGCATATATCGGGTAGCTTAAACACGTTACTTATCTCAAAGTTCAATAAATTCAACAGTTTCGGGATATATAAGAAATCAACGTTTTTCATAAATTCCAAAAATTACTCTACCTATCATGGCGATGAAGTCGATAAGGAAATTAGTTTTGTAGAGATTATGATCAGTCAGAACGAACAAGTACTCTTCAATTAGTGAAATAAGCTCATCATTTTGCTTATGATCAGATCACATTCTTTATTTGTCATCATCTTATTTTGTTGAGAAACGCACCTGTGAGCGTGGCCTTCCACAAATACATAGCGTGTGAGTTCAGACATATGAGGAAGCATCTGCATGATACGGAAATCATCTTAA